TCCTTCTTACTCTTCCCCCTCCTCTCTGTGTTCTTCTTACTCCCCCTGTTCTTCTTAACCCCCCGTTCTTCTTAATCTCCCCACCCCCTGTTCTTCTTAATCCCTGCACCTCTCCCCCTTCTTCTAATCCCTTGCCCTTCTTCTTAATCCCTCCCCCTTCTTCTTAATCCCCCCACCCCTCCCCTCCTTAATTCCCCCTTCTTCTTAATCTCCCCCTGTGTTCTTCTTAATCCCAACCCCTGTTCTTCTTAAATCCCCCACCTCTCCCCTTCTGTGGCCCTTCTTCTAACAATTGCCCCTCCTTCTTCTTGAACTTCCCCTCCCTTAATTCCCAGCTAGCTGCTTAATCCCCCTTCTTCTTAATTTCCCCTCCCCATCTTAATTCCCCTTCTTAATTTCTCCCCTCCCCCTTCTTCTTAGTGCTTCTTCTTAATTCCCCTTCTTCTTAATTTCCTCCCACTCCCCCCCTCTTCTTAATTTCCCCTCCTTCTTAATTCCCCTCCCCTCTTTGTAATTTCCCCCTCTCTTCTTCTTAATCCCCCCCTCACCTTCCCCTCCCCTGTAGCGTGGCCGAGCTGCTCTGCTGTGCGCGGTGCCGGCCGGACTGATAGTAAGGAGTGTGCACTTCCTGTCAGTCCGACCGGTTACAGGACACAGAAACTCCAGTTCCGCGCGGAGTTTCAGTTTCCTGTAACCGGCCGGACTGACAGGAAGTGCACACTGAGTGTGCGCCCTCCTATCAATCCGGCCGGGTACCGCAGATCAGCAGCAGCCCGGCCACGCTACAGGGGAGGGCAAGGGTGGAGCAGTCTCAGCCGCTTGAGGCTCTTTACAGAGCGCTCAGGCGGCTGCAACATTTAAAGGGCCGGCCCTGCAGCGGCTGGTCCTAACAGAATTTAGGGCGGCCTGGGGGGCAATTGCCTCCCTGCCCCCCGGCCCAGCCCGCCCCTGCATAGGGATTTGGGATAGTGCACATGGAACTTTTTTTTCTTTTTTGTTTATTGTATGTACTGGAGCTGATGGGTACTACGGTCATTGCTGCCGCCCAAGAGTAGTGGGAGTCTGAGCGCAGGACTTATTTTTGTGTATTTAAATAATTAACATAAATATATTCCTTATTTACTATTATATTTTATATATTTTATTATATATATATATTTATATATATATAATAGTATACTAAAGGAATAGAGGAGCTATTGAGGATTGATTCGTTTTTAGTAATTCATAAGAATACCCTCTTCTGCCTTTTAGCTGTAAAAGGCAAAGTAAATGGTTTGTATCCCTTGTAGGACGCAGTTTCCCTTAACATTGGCAGGTGAGCTTACACTTTAATATCTTTTGCAGTGCTATTAAACGATTTGTTTAAATGTACATTGGGGTTTGAGATAGTGTGTAAATTATTTATTTTTTTGGCAATCTCCCCTTATCTACCACACATAATCTGTGACCCAGACAGGTCATATATTGGTCTCTTCATTCATACGATGATGCAACATCCACAATTTTTATTTTTTTACTAACAGTAAAAGTGAAATTCTCAGAAATATGGGTAAACAATAAATAAAAAAAAAAGTGCGTGGTGTGCTGTCAGGCCAAAACTGCTGAACTTCACCCAGCTCTAACCGTATTCTGTGCAAGCTGATCGATTAGGCAAACCCTGACCGCTTTCTTCACTGACCTCCTTTCAGAGATACAGTGTCACTGAGTGCAAACATTATCACGCTCATACTGGTAAGTACTGCCTGGCTCTGATTGGCCAGCAGGGACGTGATCTAAGCCCGGATTGGCTGCTTGCAAGTGAGCATGTGAAGGGGGCTGTCCTGCTATTGATAAGCAGCCAGACCAGACAGCAGAGAGTTCTATCTTCAGACTGCTGCAGTAGAAGAAACCTCACCTGCAGGGTTGATCACAGTACAGGTACTGTTAATACCATGACAACCCTTAATTAATCTTCTATACACTATCCAGTTACCCTAGGAGCCAGGGATAATAAAGTGATATAGCTTGATCCTCATGGTTATATTTAAGAACAATAAAGAAGAAAATAATTTACTTTTGTGCAGGTTGGTTAAAGGCTATTTCAATATTAAGCTTATTAAAATGTTAAGGTTGCACATATAGGCTACTTCAAAAGTTGTAACAAAAAATTCTACTTTTAACCTAAAACATTATAGATCTTCATAAAGTTATCATTTGATGCTTGTCGTTGTAAGCAAAATACCTATTTGTCTAAAATAGTAATCTTCTGTAGTGTTTTGCAATTTTTGTAGAATTTGCTTTTAAATGGTTAATATGGGAGGTTAGTCTGCTTATTTGGCTTTTCACCTGAATTAATATCTCATAGCTATTTAAAAGAAGTCACATATGTGTCACTACTGTCAGTATGATCTGTCATATGCACATTCTGTTAAAATGCCACAGCTGCTGCATTACCTCTTGGCAAGCTGTGTTTTCTTTATCCATGTCCCTTGTGCAATGTCATAAGGTGTAAAAATAGCAGAGTTTCTGCAGCAGTAAGCAATATTTTTTACCTTTTATTTTTCCATGGCTGACAATGGTAAAATGTCCCTTCCTATAATGACATTGCTATGGGGAGGTGTTCGGGGTGGCTCATTTATAATCACATTTATAGGGATGTTAGTTGTTTATGCATAACTTAATATCACAATATTAAAAATTTAAAAAAATGCATTTCGTTTGCTCAACATTCTTTTGCACAAGTTCCTAAATATGCTTGCAAAATTCCATTTATTTTACAAGCAGATGTTCAAATTGCTAGCAGTAGTTATATGCATGCAGTACAAACGTAAGACTTTATTCGCTAAACTGTGCATTGACAAGACCTGCAAAATTTAGGTGATGCAGATTTTTATTTTATCATCGTAACTGTTTTGCGAGCCTATTATGCTACTACAGCTCACTGTTTAGAGAATAAAATAATTGTTTTCTATTGATGGCTAACTAAAGGTGGATTGCTAAACATTGTATAAACAAGCAATATAGAGTATCCCTTGTATTCAACAAATTCCATTTGTTCAATTTTACTTCTGGGGAAACAGGATTGGGAGACACTGGAGTAATACATTTGTAGGAGTTTTAGTTGTTTGCAAACACCAACATATAATTAAATATCCGAATATTGAGAAAAAAAAATATTTTATTTGTTCAACATTATTTTGCACAACTTGCAAAATGTTGGCAATACTGTTTTTTTTTTTTTTTAATTGTTTCTTTTTCATCATCTTGGGTTTTTTGCCAGTTCATTGTCATCTCTCTAGCAGACTCATTAGAGAATAAAATAATGATTTTTGATTATTGGCTAGCTAAAGGTGGCTTGCAAAACATTATGTAAACAAGCAATATAGAGTATCACTTGTATTCAACATTTCCATTTCCATTTGTTCAGTTTTGCTTCTAGGGAAACAATATTTTGGAGACACTAGCGTAATAAATATTTTATGTATTTACTTTATAAAGCATTCATTGTTTGGTTTTGTGTTTGGTTTTGTGTCCCTCCCATTGACAATGAGCTACAGCACATTAAATTTGAGCTGTTGCTTAGATCTCTTTATCATTAAAAATCTACAAAGCATAGTTAGTGAAAGTTGCACAGCAAGCATTCTATTAACCTCTCAGTGTATTTCATGGGACTTAAAGTTAAGTTATTTGTGTGCTTGCGATGTGCACGTCACTTTACAATACCATTGGTAGGCCAATGGCATGCAAAGTGTTAAAGGTAGCATAATATAGCCTTTTCTAGGCAAACCAGCACAGAAAGAGTTAAAAGGAAGGTTTCAGAGATGTTATCTGCCCAGGCTTATTAGGTTAGTGGATGACCAGTGCAATGCCAGCAAATGCTTTTATTTATTAAACAATGAGAAGGAATGTTAAACCTTGCTCCTCTTCATTTATTTTAACTATGGCATTCTTTTTCTTTTTTCTTTTTTTTTTTTTTCAGGATGATCCAGATTCTGGAACCCCGTTCTCTTCCACGATCGATTATGCCTGTTGATGTTGCGGTTAGAATATGCTTAGCACATTCTCCTCCACTGAAGAAAATTCTCAGTCCTTACGAAGACTGCAGGGCAAGGAACTTTGTCAATCGATTTAAGCCCCTTCGACCATGCCTCTCATTAAAGAAAGAATCAGATTCAAGAAGCAGTGAGTGGAATCGGTCCAAAGCCCGAAATAAAAAGGTCATCTTTGCAGACTCTAAAGGGCTTTCCCTGACCTCAGTGCATGTGTTTTCAGATTTTAAGGAAGAACCAGCTGCCGAACTTCAGTTTGATCTGATAGATTTGGAGGATATCACAGCCAGTTTAAAGTTACATGAAGAAAAGAACTTGATCTTGGGATTCACACAGCCCTCCTCCGATTATCTACAGTTCCGCAGCCGAATCCAGAAAAATTTCATCTGCCTGGAAAACTGTAGTCTTCAAGAAAGGTCCGTAGCTGGGACCATTAAGGTAAAAAATCTGAGCTATGAAAAAAACGTGAAGGTCAGAATAACCTTTGATACCTGGAAAACCTACAAAGATGTAATCTGTTCGTACATGAACAACGTCTATGCAAGCACAGACAACGATACATTTTCATTTGTTATCGATATCTCTCCGAACATTCCCAGCCATGAAAAAATTGAGTTCTGTCTGTCGTATGAAAGCGATAGCCGAGTCTTCTGGGACAACAACGAAGGACAAAATTACTCTGTAATTCATGCAGAATGGAAATCTGATGGTGTGCAAACTCTGACACCAACTAAAACAGACATAACCTCATACAAATCCCAAAAGATAAAACAAAAGAATGACTTTGATCAGTTTGGAAGTCCTAGGACATCAGCTGGTCTTTTTGCTGAATGGCAGAGCTGGGGTAAACTTATAAACACATCACCCTATTGGTGAAAATAACCAGTCATTGGCTAACGATTTTACTTATTGAGGGCACTCTGTGCCTATAAGAGCTAAAATATGCAACAAGCCAATTGCATGTAAATCTGCTCCAAGCTGTTATTGTCGTCGTGCCACTGTGAACATACTCAAGCACAACAAGCTTTTATGACGTACATATTAAGGTTCTTAGAGACAATATGTACAACATCCACATGCATGTAGGAAGAGTATGCTGGAGCCAGCATCATTTTTGCTTATGAGTGTCCCAAATATTTAGACCTGGCATGGGCCTATATTAGGCAAAATACATTGTAGCTGGTTTTAGAATTCATTGAAGGAGGGGTCCAATTAGAATTTTTTTTTTTACCAAGTTTGAGTGAATAGATATACACTTTTGATTTAACCCATTGTGCACAATATGGCATGTCCAGTGGAAAAGCACCTTTGGATGCCCAAATGGGATCAGAGTTAATCTCACACTCTATTCGAGAGTGGCATATATGCTCCCAGCAAATGTGTGCGCATGCACATCAAGGTGACACTCTGTTCGATAAGTGATCTGTTGACAAGCAAGTCATTGTTCATTTTACTTATCCCACTAATCAAACAGTTTTTCCTTTACTGCACCTTTTAGAGATTAAACACATATTGGATTTACAAGGTTTAGAATAAACCTGTGCCACGTGATGGCCATTAATGTAATTTAAACTCGTTCATTGCACTGAGTGCATATACATTACTGGGAGAAATATTTGCTATAAATTTGAAAATTAAAAATGAAAGCTATAAAAACCCTTACAAAAAGATTTTAGGAGCCGGTCTTTTAAAATCCAAAGATGTTTTTTGCAAGCGACTTATGTAATTGTAACCATTTACACTATTTGAATAGTCCTTAAAATTTGAAAAATGAAATTAGCTATAAATCAGGGACCCCCAACCACCTTTTGTATCATAGAGAGTCACAGGTGTTTTGCAACATCTAACAAATTATATGCCCCTCTTTAGATGAAGGTTGATTAAAAGACATTCGAGTGTGTCAGAAAGGTATACAAAGTGGTATCTGTACTCTGGTATTCGTACACAGCTGTTTAATAGCCATATAATAGCCTATAGCAGCATAAACTCTATGATGATATGTTAAGTGCCTTTTATACAATGTTGCCAAACATGACGTGCAAGGTTGGAGGCTGTCTAACCGAAATATTTTCTAGCAGAATAATTTGTGTCCGCGTGTGCCATACAGAAATGATGCAAAGCCAAATTGTATATTCACACTACACTACTTGGTACTTCTGCAATGTTTTTTTCTTTTTTCATACGAATCTCTTGCACTCAATATATATTTTAACTGCCCCAATTATCTGATGTTTGGGAACAGAAAATAATTAAAAACAATCAGTATTAAATACACAAAGAGAGTTTAAAACTCAGGATCACAAAATTATTTTGGTCCCTTTGCAATTGATACATCTTTTCAAATAATTAGTGACAACTTGTGTCCACAATTGTTTATGACATAACTACAGGAGTCCCGAAATTCAGATCCTTCACATTGAAGGTAATAAGAATGTGTTGCACCTTTTCAACATTAATTTGGTATGTAATAGAATTGTAGTTTCCTTAAAGAAAGGATGAGTTGATTGTAGTTGATGTTTTTTTGCACATTTTTAGGCAAAGCCTTTGAGAATTGCTATTTCAGGATACAGATGTCTTGCCCTATTATTTGGATAAATTTTATCAGATGTCTTTTATAGCAGTGATGTATTTTTGGCATGGATAATTATTTTAATCCAATTTTTCTTAATTCTTAAAAAAAAAAAGCGAGAAAAAAAAATACAAAACTTATGCACTTTTGGATCCCAATGTTTAAAGAAAATTTCTGTATTTTTCTATTTTATAGCGGGTTTGGATGTGTAATATTTTTAAATTTAAGCAGCATTTGTAAGCTGATGGGTATTTGTGTTAGAATAACAGTAGGATTTGTTTGTGTTTCTAAAACAAAATGTGATGTTCATTAAGAATGACAGCAATCGTTCTTTCGGTGTGATTGTATTATGTTCTAAGAAAATGGTTCATAAGCTCTAGTTATAACTTATCAGGTAAGACATACTGAACTGCGTGTGTATTTTAAGAGGTGGATGTATAAATAACGAAGTGATTGACAGATTCAGATTTTTTTAAGATCAGAGTCAGAATAATGGGGTATGGTTTGAAGGTCGCAAATGAAAAATGAATTAGATTAAAGGTCTGGAGTATACTGTACATTAATCTGTCCTGACAATTTCAATTTTATGATGTTTTAAAAGGATAGGATACAGAAACAGACTTAATGGACCTGACATCAAAATCTACTGTATGTCAGTGTAAGCACAAATCCATGTTTGAGATTGTTTGTTTATTAAAAAAACGTATGTGCAGATCTTCCCTGTACTGCAGACAAATGAACATGTGACTTTTTCTAATTGTTCTCTAAAATGTGTTCCCTAATGTAATGTTTGAACACTGTAAGATTGTCCAATAATAAATTATGTTTTTTATATAATGATTTGGAGTTTGTTTGTTTTTTATTACAAAAAAATGCTCAGTCCGTGTAGGTCCTGTTACATACCAGCTTGCCATACTGTCGTTGGACAACCAGTGTACATAGGTATGCAAAGTGCCATCTTTTCCGTGATAACAAAATTCTAGTAGATAATTATTGGCAGAAGAATGTGTATACGTAGAAATAGTGATGATTCGGTGTCTAGAAGATTACACCTAGAGGAAAAGGAAAGTGGCGATCGGAGACACAAAGCGGTAGATCCGTATAGAAAAACTTATGTATCTTGTCACCTCAAAAGAAAATATATAGGTCTGGGTAGGGAATGGCTGAATACATTTACCATACTCTTCGAAAATAAACTTTTGCATGTGTCTTGATTTACGGGTGATCTTACTTAAACAACTGATGGATTAATTTGATCAGTTACTTTTATTGTCATTCCTGTACCAAAGGACTGGTCAGGTCTTAAAATCGATATTTCTAAAGTTACATACAAGCAGAAAATCTGCTCCCCGGTACCTTATTGCCCAGGTTGCCCCATATGTCTAGACTACCCATCCAATGACTTTCAGATACTTTCATTTCAAAATCCATTTACAACCCACCGCACAGCCATTTTACCTTCTGATCAATATTCTTATAGTATATATTCCTATATATCCTAGTAATATTCTCCCTTGCTGTCTCTAAACCATACTTTTGCCATTCCAAACCCAGACATTTCCACAAGCAGATTTCCATCTCCATAGTTCAACATCTACCATACATGCCCTTGTACTGCATGTCCCCCTTTTATCTAAATCTTCTGCTCTACAGCCATATTTGCAACATCATACAATTACAGCCTGCAGCCTTATTCCTTTTACTTATACATTTAGGGTTAGAGAGAAATATAGTCAATTCATGTCTTCAGGCCACCTGCACCAGTCCATGTAGGAACACCTTCTCCTCACGCAACTATCTCCTCCAGTAACGCATATTACAGTACTGTGAGCAGGAGAATGCAGGACTACCTGAAGCATCAGCAGAGTGTATCCAGCTCTTATTGTTTAACTCTTTGATTGAAGATATATTTCCTGAGCATCACACAGATATTTGCCCAATATTTACACTTGTAATTGTTACAAATCATTTTAAAGATTTTTAATGGATCAGTAACATGAAAAAAATAATGCATTATTTTACTGAGTGACAACATGGTGAAGTCAGTGTCAGTAAGCAGGTGGAAACCTAAAGATACGGTTAATAATGTAAACAACACATTGAGGGTGTGCAGGTATAATCCACTCAGAAAGAAAAAAGCAATATAATACATAGTGTAAAACTAGAATGATACCAAATGTGCTGTGATACGCCTGGAATGGTACACTCGGATTGGGTGTAGCCAAAGGTAAGATCGCTCAAGTCTATAGAGTGTGTGTGTCTCTTTAGGGGGACACAATACTTACTTCAAAAGTGCTTGGTGAAGTGGTACCAAAAATATAAAATAAAATAGCAGCACAAATGGTGTAGCATTGACAAAACTGAAGGTAAGGAGGTCAGTAAAAAGCAACTTAAACATGGCTCCAGGTGTGGCTAACAATGTGCCAATAAATGGTGGAACTGCCCCTTTTAGGACCAAGCAGGAAAGAAGATCCCCATGGAATACAAAACTATTACCAATGTATTGACAAAATTAAATATTACATACAAGTATAATACAGTACATCTGTAGCGGCCCCTTTGGCATCGGAGAAGAGAGGAGGGCTTCTGACGGGTGCATTAATTTATGCTTTGCATCAGAAATGTGAAGGAATGTTCTGAACACCATCAATGTCAATATCTTTAAACACCTTGAGCACCGTGAAACCGTAAGCACCGTGAAAACTTGCTCTGCTTGTCAAGGGGTGCAACTTTAAACTTTAGAAAAACCTTATATAAAAATCGCCTTCCCACGAGGTGCTGCTAGCTTGCTTTACATCTGAATGCTGAGTCACAGAGAACTTTTTCCTGCCAGAACTAGAGGAAAGAGGGGCCTGATGATCGAATATTCCCCAGCAAAACAAGAGGAAGGCAGAAAGGTTCTGCCTGAAGCAGTCAGTGCGGAACAAAGATTTAAAGTAATAAGCAGACACTTACAACATCCATGTAGCTTCTCCTACAGAATGCGTTACATCATCAAACAGCTTTCTTAAAAGCAATGTAGAAGTCCTCAATAAGTGGTCCATCTAAAGTCCATCAGTTCTTGGGTCTAATTGTTCCATTGAAGGGTTTACATTGAAGGGAAGGTCCTGGCAGATCTTCACCAGAGAAGAGATGTCTGTAAAGTCTGGACTGGAATTTTACGTATCAGAACTCTGCTGCATATCATCTGCAGTCACAATGCTGTAATTCAGCGCACTCTACACCACTTACCTATGGAAATATGTGTAACAGTAAAATACCATAGAAACATTATCTATAAAAATGCAGTAGTATCAATCAATTGCACCTCAAATCTTTATTAACGTGCATGATGTCAATTTTATGGAGCGAACCGCAGACAGTCAAAGAGAAGAGGTAATGTTATATTTGTATCTCCATAAAAACCAGTAGTCATATATAAGAAGGCAAACTGGCTAAATGGGGTTATTGTTTCTACAATATACTAAGCTTTTTATAGTTAGTGTTTTATTACAAACATACAAGAAAACTTACATCTTCCATACTGACTGAGATTTTTTTTTTCTTTACTATTACAATACTTCCAGTTCTTGATTAAAATAGGTAGTGCCAAGCAGAGTAGACACCTGCCTACATGTGTGCTTGTTTTCAGCACTTATAATGTGCCTCTGTTGAGCTCAAGTGTGCTGATGGGAAGACATAATTACCAGGAGTCTTGGTAAGTATCCTCTAGTCCAGTCAGCCTCATATCTTTGATGGCAGAGCTGTATGAATCATTATAGAGGGTGGAAAACACAGTGCTGTCTCAGCACCTCCAGTGTCTGTGTGTGAGGATGGGCAGGAAATGGAAGGGATCATTATTTACCATCTGCCCACTAACAGACTTGCAGGAGGAGCAGGGGAAGCGTTGAGTGATGCACACTGAATAGCAGTTCCTGCATCTCTGCTTTTAATCAAAGACGGGTGACTAGATTGCAAAAGACATAGGAGGGTGAGTATTTTTGATATGAAGAGTCACACTTTGGGTTGGGGATGCGACTCTCGGCCTCTAGCTACGGTTGTGTTGAAACCACATATAGACATATTTTGTGCAGGAGCCATGCAGCACTAGATAACCAAGAAATGCAGCGTGACGGAGGTAGATTGATTATGGTATGTGTGTTGGTGAAAGTATATTGGTATGACTCTGTGAATGTATGTTAATGTGTGTCTTTGTTTTTGTGTGTGTCCATGTTTGAATGTCAGTGTTGGTTGCTGAGTGTCATTGAGTGTCAACATAAGTCTATGTCTGAGTTTTATTTTGTGCATGTGAATGCTTTGTAATGTGTCTATCATTCTATGTTAATTTGTGTATGTATACATTCCCTGTGTATTACATAGGTATGTTATTGTATGTCTGTGATTGCATATTAGAGTGTGTCTATAGATGCACGTTTACAGTGGGGTGGGGACTGAATAGAGTCTAAAATGCATTAGGCTGGTTTTGACTTGCCACCCTTTGTATGTTGTGAAAGTAATTCATTGATTAATTCATGTTTGTAGTTTTTGGTGCTCTTTGTTTTCTAAAAAAAAAAATTAGTGTTATTTCTTATTAATGCGGCCTCTAGAAGTGGAACCTCCTCATTGGCACCTCAAAAAGAATGGACGGTAAGACTTTTTCTGAGTTTAATATTCATTACAGCATAATTTTCACACGATGGATACATGGTTACATTTAGCACTTTGGTTGGTTGCTGTCGGTTAACAGTTTGGCAAATAATATAAAATATTTAACTTACAGTAAAAACCATAACAATAATAATGTGAATATATCTTTACACAACAACTTCTTTATTTTTAAATTTTACACTAAAATTATGAACAGAAAGTCTATTGATTTTTGGAAACCATACATAAAAAAATTGTTGCCCTTTCTTTTCCTTCCATATGCTTTTGTAAACATATCTTGAGTCCTCCATATTATTCCAATGTCAGATGGTCAAGATAGAAGTCTATGATAAATAGGAGAAAAATCTTAAAATACGAGATGAAAAGCAGACAAATCTAGTTGAATATGGGAAAAAAATTTGTGTGTCCTAATTAGGAATAGTTGTCGAAAAAGCCTAGTGATCATCAAATAACTGCAAGTTTCAGAGTTAAATGACCCATTCTGGCAGCAAAATTCTTGCTTTCCTTGTTTTGTAGATACCTAATGTCAACATTTTCCAAATTGTGGATATCTGTTTATAATAACATTTTCAGAAAAGACACAACTATAAAACAGTCAAAATGTTAATCACTGTTACTATACCTAGATCTGGTGAATGTGCAAATACGTGCACAAAATTTAACATAAATATCTATTTTAAGTAACTTTAATTAACTATTCTGTTTTGCCCAGTAGTTAACGTAGGACAAAAGTACATAAATTTTTTTTTTTTTTTACATTTTATAACATTTAGTTTGGTTGTTTTATATTTTATGAAATACAAAGATAATAGAAAACACAGTAGGGAAAGAATGGTCTAAAACACAATAATACTGATTGCAGTTTCATGAGCATTATAGAACAAATTAATTTAAATCTAACGTCAGACAAATGAAAAGTAAAGAACAAATGAATTTACATCTAACCTCAGACCTACTGTGTAATAGAAGCTGAAGAAAGGTAGTCAGGTGGTGGAGGAATTGGAAAAGAAGAGAGTGTGGAAAGAGAAGGAGGAAGTGTGGGATTCATTATCTAGTCTCTGCTAGGCATCGGCATGTCCTCAATAGGAGGTAAGCATCATGGAGAATCTTAGCAAAGTGGTAGAGGGGCTCATAGAAGCCCACATAGCTGGGGGAAAGGGTGTTGGACATAGCAGGCCATTTAAATAGCCTAC